AGGTTAACTAAACCGGCTCTTGACCGTAACGATTAAGCCGTACTATAGATCCCTAGACGACGATATGTCCTCTAAGATTATAGGCTCTAGATATGCTTTGAAGAGCTTATACAAACGTAAGCAATCGTATTACACATCGCACGTGATTTATAATTTAGAATTAATTCCTCCCTAAGGTTCGTATGCGAGATTCCTTGTCTATGAATATTTATAAGCATAATATTTGCTTTCATGTTATGGAGGTATGTTAATAATGATATTAAATACATTTCATTGTCAAACAATTCCTAATCACGTAGGAGATTCTGTAAATAAAGCCATATACACACAAAGCTAAAATTAAAACAAAATTAATATGAGACCGGTATGACCATGTGTCTGGCAAATTTTGTCATATTGAAATTTTAACCTTATGTCAGCTAATGCAGCTATGCATTAACATGTGATAAAATAATTCATAATATAAATAAGTTATCTTTAAGTATGCCTATTTTTAGCAAAAAGAATTCTACAAAAATCTCAAAAACGCAAATTAATATGCTTTAAATGTATGTATATTTTTGTTTTATCCATTCAAGCCAGTAGCGCACAAAATAACGCCATAAATGTTTTATCGACCTAAACATAGAAATCGTTGATATCGTCGAGTGGATCCGAAAGAATTCAACAAATCCGCTGAATGTTTTGTTTAATTAAGCAAGCGTCAGCGGATTTGCTCATGCTTTCAGAAGCATCAGTCCGCATGCGTGAAGCACTTAGCCGTATCACAGCTTTCAGTGCTGAAGAAGATGCGGTAGTGAAAACACGTGCTGCCCCGCGCCATTTTCACGAGTATTAGATCGCGAGACACGAACATTTTCGGAACATGTAGCGTTGCGTCAACGCTGTGAAGTGTTTTTCAAGTTGTGAACTTTTTAAGTGACATCTGAGGTTTTTTGTACTAACTTAAGTAGTATAGTAAAAATTAGCGTTGATTAATATACGTTATGTGTACGATATACGTAATTTTATGTCCGGTTGTCTGACTTGACTCATACATAATTTATAGACACAAATAAGTGTATTAAGTCCTTTATGTCGGTTGTACGTTAATTTATATTGTTTTTGCGGTAGCTCGTTGATATAGGAAGTAAGGTTGAACTGTGATATTTAAAGTTACGTGCTGATCTTGCTTCTGATACGCTGAGCATATGGGTTATATATTTTCGAACCGCTTCTAAAGGAAACGTGATATAACAGGGAAATTGTTTTTAAAATCTACCGATAACTTTTAATTATTTTACTTATCAGCTTGTGATTAACTGGTTTGGAGACACCCGATGCATCCGTGGTTATTCCATTAAGGGTTAACTCTTCTTCTTATGTACTCTTGGTGGGTAAAGGTCGTGCTTCACATCAGACTGTACGGCTTTGCCGATCAGCTGCCCCCCATTCTTCTCAGACCTCGGATATTCATAGATCGTTCGGGATGTTCATGTCTTTGCCACTTGGTAGGATCGGCCCCGTGGTTTATTTCGACCTTTCTTGACCAGACAAATTACAAATAGCGTAGGTTATTATTATATTGCTATTATCTATAATTAAACCTATTTAGATCGATTTACCACGTTAATTATAGGTAATAATTGCGGTTAAGTGATTCTAGGTTTCTACCTCACTGCGCAGTGCATTTAGAACATAATATGATTTTTTTGCTCGTGATTTGGAGATTACGTTAACACAGTTAACATTACCACTATGTGGTAGCGGTTAAAGCCAGCGTATCCAAACTGGATAGTGGTAGTATGTTGGGTCTGAGCTATTAAAATTTCCATTTAACAAGAGCTGTTCCCAGCATTGACTCATAATAACTTAAACGCGATACCATTTCAATCCCATAAAACGGTAGAAAAGAAATAGGTAAAGGCTCTCATGGTACAGAGACAAGAAGGAAACTCATATCAAAAGTAAATAGTTCTAATCTCACAAACAAACACTTTTTTAGAAAAATATCTCAAATGCTTTTATTTAAGGCGCTAAACAAATTAAAAATCGTTTAAATTTTTTTTGGACACGGGTATTTCTTGAACCGACATCCCCATCGATTTCTAATCTAGAATACTGACAAAATGTAAAAAATGAAAGAAAATTTAAACTCTTATAGAAAACTGATTTTTTTGTGTTTGGATAAAAGCCTATACTCGAATAAGAAATTTTAATACATATTTATATACGAATAAACTGTACATTTAAGAATATGAATGTACTGTAATTATTCTTACAAATGCTTAGGTGGGCTTAAAAATAACAAAACACAGTCAAAAGCATAAATTTTAATCACGTTAAATTGAGTGACAACTGACAAAGCTCTAAGACATGAGGTTGAAAAAAAAACATCCTACGTTATTTGCAATCTCAGACTTCCGTATATTTTTAAACACGATATCTTTTGATTTATTTTTTTTATTGGTTTCATTTATTCTTTAATTACTCAATTATAATATTATTATGCGATGGTAATTTTACTGTTTATTTACGGGCACAGATAAAGCAGATATCAAATGGAAAATATTCAATTTAAGTAATTTAATATTTCCGAAATCAAATTTTGGTATGGTTAATATTTGCGTAGTCATATAGTCATAAAATTAGTACTTAACAATAAATGTATTTAGTGAAGCTAATAAATTCTACGACGAACTGGAACAAAGAACCGAAATCTGCCAAAACACAAAAGAACCAGTAAATAATAGATGCGCTTACGATAAAGAGCTAAGATTATCTAGACTGCACACTCAAATAGCTGCGGCAGCTTGGCTTGCTCTGGCCTTGCACTTAAATTACGTCACTCGTATTCGTCAGACAGACTTTAAATCATATGCCCTACTAGCTCTCTCACTAAAGCGTTCTAGTTTTTAAATAAAAAAATTTTAACGGTTTAATTTACAATTCGGGGGACCGCCTTATATCACGGCATAAATTGTAAATAAGTTATCTGGTACTTTTCGCGTTTTAAACCGTCAGAAGTATTTTATTTATGTTCTAGTTTTATTTAAATGCGCAAATTTACGGGGAAGAATAATTTTTGTGTAGTTTTTGTATGTAATGTTTTGTAAATATATTGTTTCTTTTTTATACTTTAAGACCCATATATGTTGTTATATGTTATAAAACAAGAATGCATTTTTAAATGTTTTTATTTCCTCATTAATAATAAAAAATGGTAGTTAAGTTACGTCTGAAGTGAAAGTGCAAGTTCTTTCATTAAAACACCCGAACGCTTAACAAGTTCCCGTAATGCGTAATGAGGAAACCGTGTATTTTTATAAAAGATTTTATAACGCTATCGAATAATATTCGAATTTTCGAATCAATCTTTCTTCCGAGTTCAAAAGCTCATACGCCAATCAATCCTCGTCAGTTCCACAAAGGTTAACCATTTTTCACTTTTGCTTTAATTAAAAGCGATTGAATCGTAGACGAACTCTAGAATTGCTTGTTCTGTTGTAATGGGAGTATGTATACTTCCATAGTTCTCTTTCTTAAAATTTCATTGAAGTGTTAAGGATATTTGGTAAAAAGATAAGATATGGCAAAGGAAAGTATATTTTGTTACAGTACAGTTACAGTACACTTTTCTTTAGAAAAGCTAGTTTGGGCTTCAAAAATTTGTTTTGCAACCTTTTATATCTAGCTGTTACCAACGTTGTGGGTCGCTTCCCGTCGTTCAAGCAAACAAACAAATTCTTCAGGTATTATATCAGTAAATCTTAATAAAATGTTATAGGGCTGGTGTAATTTAACTTCTATCTAGTAGACTTCATGCTTGTGTAATCTATCTTATAAACTAGAAATAATATATCAAAATACTCCGTTTTACGTACAAACGACTTTATGTTTCAAATTTCAGGTCCGACTTTTACACTCATGTTAAAATAATTTGATAGCAGTTATTTATATAAAAAATAATAAAGAGTTTCTCTTTACAAAAAAATACAAGCATAAAAGAAAACTTTGACAACACAACCTTATAATCAAGCGAGAAAACTTGGGGCAATTTTGTTGATGTCTATTATTCTTACAATTCATCACAATTTTTCACTACCGACAATCATTATTTGTTTAATAAAATGTTTTTCTTTTCTTGTATCTTTATACTTGAGAATTGTTGTACACGTTTCTCTGCACACATAGAAATATAACCCTAAAAACAAACGCACCAATAACATAAAGAAACATAATCCTTTAAAAATAATAACTCATACAATAAACGCAAACGGTCTTCTTCGCAAATTCAAAGATGTAACTCAAAAGAAATGGAGATTTAAATTAACAATGAGAATTCTTATCCGAAAGATATTTTCCTATCTTAATTTCATGCAATGCTTTATATTTCTTTTTCGTTCGAAATCGTAAATATTTCACGAATGGAAAATGCGATATCTGCGAAAACGGATACTCCGTTAATACTTTCGGCTTATAATTTGTTATCGAAAGGGAATTTGGCGATCATTTGTAACGAATTGATATTTTTCATGAGTCCTTCAGCAAAAGAACTGCCATTTATATCTTGGGTCTGCGATTTATGGCGACCATTTATCATTTTATCGAGTCGCCCGTGTCACACATCGCGTGGCACTACTTAACTCTTATAATTCCCAATAGGGGAAACTAGTTCGGCAGTCATGTCCGATAATTTCGCAAGTGACATAGTAGCCTAATAACTTGATGTAACAGACCCGTTTACATTTCTGTAGAACGACAGCCAGATCCCAAGTAAACTGTGTCATTTTTTCCTGTTTCTCCTCGTTATTTTGACTCAGATGCTACAGAAACTTTCCGCGTCTATTGTCGGAGTCCTAATGTTCCGCGTTCATTGTTCAGCCCGTAATTAGATTTGAAAATGATGGCCGCTACAAATCTTAGAAATTCCAGCTCATCTCTCGCAGTGTAAATGAGAATTTCTATGTAAAATGAATTTAGAAGTGTGAGTGGAAGTGTGTGATGGTGAGAGACACAGCATGACCACATGGATGGCGCTATTCGGGCTTGTGTGGCTATTGCGGGTACGCGGCTCGCTTTGCGGATGTGCTGCTTGCAAGCGAGCCCGGCTCGACGGACCAGAACTATGCGCGGAGACCCCGCGCGCGCCTAGCCCGGACGAACGCGCGCCCTTTGACGTCATCGCCTTGCAGCACTACACGCGTGACGTCACTGTGCAAACGGATTTCGAAGATGAGGAAGTCGAGGACCTCGATAAGATCGAGTTACAAATCACTGAGGAATGTGAGTAGCACTATAGCTTTTGTGAGTTGTTTGAAGAAAGCAAACGGTTTTACTTCGAGTTAAAGTCATAAAGCGGAAGGAAGTAATTCCTTGAATCCTTCAAACAATGCTCAGAGTCGGACAAAAGTAACACATGCTCTAAAACGTATCAATCACTGTGTGCTACTTCCGTTCAACCTAGAAATGTCACAGTTCATGTGTGGCTTTGTAACAAGAACGCTCGATTTAATATCGTGAAATGATTTTTATTACTTCCTATTCTTAGTATCAGAACATTGATAACACATTTATCGCTATTATATTTCAGTAAATTACTTAAACCGACATTCGACGGGAAACAACTATAATTGCACACTATACTTCTAAGTATATTCTACTCTAACTCATTATTCTTCTGATATTTGTTATTTATTTGTTTTATAGTTTACTATTTACTATTTCTCTGACTAGATTTAGAAAGATGACCTCCAAATTTTAATTACGTGTGTCGACTATGACGACATATTGTGGCTGTAGACATTCGGAAATCCGCAGACTGAAATCGAAATGCGATTGATTTTCACGGCAATTGCATATGTGGATAGCAGACCACGACTCGAGATCAAAAATATAAATATAACTAATTTCTGAACGAAGTATATATAACACAGCTATAAGAAAAATTAAATTATTTAAAAGTGATATTACATGTTTATAGTTTTAACCATAGTGACCTCGGCCTTTATGGTCTAATGCTAGCAATGATGGCTAATAATCCTAGTCTTGTGGTTTAATAATCGTGGGTTCGATTCCCAGCGTGTCTATCATGTTCTAATTGATTTATTAATTTCGCTTAGAAATCTGAACATTAAATAGGTGAATGGAATGTCAAAATACCGTCCACGCGAGCCACCATAGTCCATAGATGACAAAGCCGTGGTTTATTCGCGTTGCGATTTCAGTCTGCGTATTTCCGAATATCCAAAGCCAAAATAGGCCAACAGCGCATCTCGTTTTGATGTTACATGGCTGCGTTATTGCAGTGTGTATTTTACCTTTCATGAAGTGAACCACGAGCTTGTCTATCATCCTTTACCGTAAAGGATATATTATGGAATTGCTCTGATACGAAAGGAAACATTGACAGAATTTGTTCAGTTAATTGGTAGCAAAGTTTGTGCACTGTTCGTGCTCAGTTCGTAATAAACTATTCTCTTCATGGCATTGTTTCTGTTAGCCTTCGAGGAAAAGCGTCTCTCGTTCATTCAGTCTGGACGAATGCCACTCCTATGTATTTATATTAAATGTCTTGAGAGGACACTCGTTCGTGGATGTTTACACAGCAAATAAACTTACGAACTCGGGGACACATTGTTGAAAATTTTCAAGACACATTTCATATATCTATTGTAAACTATGTATTACTGTGTCGGGGTGAGAATTTCGAAACTACGATTTTATTGGGCTTTCACCTTTTGTAGTGCACTTAAAGTTTATTTTCAATGGCCGATTTTGTTGAAATTCCTCAAATGTGAATGTAGTGTGTTTTATTATATTATAATAAATAATATTATAAAAAGAAGTCTTCGGGTGTAGCTCGACTGGCTCGTTGGTCTAATAGTAGAAATATTTGGCTAATAATCAACGGGTCGTGGCTTCAATCTTATGTTTCTTTTTCAATTTATAATTTTTCTGAAACATGTTGGACTTCGTCTGGAATCTGGATATTGAAAGGGTAGTAGGATATCGAAATTCCATCCAGGTGACCAACCCTCCACAAATGAAAAAGCCGTGAAGTTAAATCGCGTTTTGGTTGCTGTCTATTCGGTTGCAGTCGGATTTTAGAATATTTAAAGCCAAAATAGGTCGACAGTGCTCCCCGTTCTTGTCTGTCCTCCTTTATCATTAAAAAATACATTTCATGTAAAAAGCGAAACGTACCGATAAAATATAATATTCTCTAAGCGTCGATGTCGTACAATAGAACTGAAATCAAAGTCCCCTTGTACTCACGCTTCAGAAACACTGAACTAGTCTTTTCCGAATATAATCTATTTTTTCGGAAATATTACGACCATTTTACTTTTAGGAACGTTTAAAAATTACATGTTATGAAATTAGTCACGTTGGGTTTGTTAGTTCTTTATTCGTTTTTTTCAGGATTTTTTTTTTATAGAGTTTCAATGTATCCTTAAAAGAATTTACAAATAAAAAAACAATTGATGGTAGACTGTAGAAAAGTAAGCATAGCAAGCTATGTAATATAATGCATTATTTCCTAATATAATATATATATAAATACTGTCTATAGTTTACGCGAGTAGTACACATTTAAATGTAACACTTTAACGGTTTAAAACGCGATATATCAGTTAAACTTATTTGAAAATGATTTTTAACTTCGGCCCGACGTTTCGGATGCTTTGCAGCAGCCGTGGTCACGGGGAGACGTTAGTTAAAGTTAGACTTTAAATTTTAGCGGTCACTAGATCGCGCTTATAACAATTTGTAATGGAGTCTGTTTCTATTCACGGGCGAAATGGGAAATAATTAAAACTTTCCAAAGTAGAGGAGAGCCATAAAAAGTTGCGACAACGCGCAAAACAGGGTAAAAAATGAAAACGAAGTTTCACTTCCTTTATTTTCAGTACGTGAACTGTAAAGTTAATCCCTTTTTAAACTTTCCCTCTAAAGAAACGTCCCATCTTAGCCATTTTCATTTTTGCCCTTTGAATGTTTCGATTTAAGTTGATGGCTTTAAACTCCCTTTAGTGTTATTTTTGCTAAGGTTTTGAACGAATGACACATATATAAGAGTCAAATTAGGTTTTCATAAAGTTAAAACTATTTATATTCTTAATACTTCTTGTATTTAAAATTGCAGATATGATTATGGTATTCATTTTGCCTGCGTTGTAATAATACTAGACATCTGACCTGTGCCTATCAGTTTTCTTATATGGAGCTGGTTTAAAAATCGTTCTAACGACAATATAATTACTGTAGTGTACCAAATTCAGTTATAAATATATTTTTCGTGAAAATACCTCATCTATAGAAAGATTTGACGTCGTGGGTTCGATTCTTACCGGGAATATATTTCTAAACAGCTTAAATTTCTCTGAAACATGTAGGACTTCGCCTGAAAATCTAAATATTAAACGGAATATCCAAATTTAGTCCGGTCACAAACCACCATCACTGGATAAAAAAAAAATAAATTTTAACCACGTATTCGGTTTCAGTCTGTGGACTTCCGAATATCCGAAGACAAAATAAGTCGACAGCATCTAGTCGATGCTATATAGCTGCGGTATTTCACTATCCATCAAGTGCTAGTCTTTTGTCCTCTATCATTGAAAAAAGGTTTTGGCTGCAAGATCTTATCGTTGCATATTATTTTATATTCGCCAACGAAGTCATAAAACTAAAGAAACTGCGTCCTACTATAACAGGCCATTAATTTCCTTTTACTGAAAGTGCATTCAGATTAATGGAGAATGAGAACGCTCAGGGAAAAATAATGTAATTAATTTAATCCTGCTATGTTCCTTTTATGTTATGCAATAGTTCCTCTGACTTTTCGTTTATTTTTATTGAAGTCTCTTTCTTGACGTAACAGCTATTTCTAATAGATATATAAGAGTTGAAGAGTTTGTTTGTTTGAACGCGCTTATCTTAGCAACCACTGGTTCTAATTCAAAAAATTATTTTTGCTGGTTTATAGAAAACTTTTTGCTAAATAAAATCACACTGGGCACCAATAGATCCAAAAAAAGAGTGAGAAAAGATACCAGTTCAGTGAATACAAGATACGCAAAAAATATGTAAAAAATGATTATTCTTTAAACTATCTAAATAGTTATATGCACAATGGTATATGTCTATCATTTATGATTAACCCGCAAGGACTACGGGACGCAGACAACGTTGTGGGTAATATCTATAATTTATAAAACTAAGGAGGTCGCTTGCAAAAATAAATAATATAAACCCCAAAATAATGTTCCACGTAAACAAAGTCGCGGGCACACACAGGTAATAAAATCATGCAATAGGTTTATATTGTTCATAGATATCTTTACAGCAGTAACTCTATTATTCTAAAAATCTAAAACATATTGTCTCGATTGCATATTGTTTCTTTCCACACATGTCTAAACATAGTTTATTCCTTTCGTTTTAAATTTTTTGCTGAGTGTTTACCCCTAAAAGCCTTTTTAAGCGTACTGCATATACCGATGCACTTCAGGCAAATGAACCAAGGAAATGAAGGAAATTTCCCCTTATTTTACTTCACGTATAAATACACGATCGATTTGAATTTTACGAAGTGCACCGACGTGAGTTTTATTCGTCTCGACTTTTTGTATGCGCAAAATATAATGACGCAAGAATACTCGTATCAGATGTTTAACTTCCGCCGTTTTTTAATGATAGAGGGGTACAGACAAGGATGGGATTCAGTTAATAGTAGGTAATATTCCCAGCCTACAGCTTCTCAACAAGCGCAGTGGACCGATTTTGGCTTTGGATATTTAAGCTCTGCGTTCGAATCCGGTGGAAAATCAATAGTGTTCCGGTCGATGAGGACAGCCTAGGACCTAAAAACCGATAATAAAATCAATCTGTGAAATATAGATGTGTGTATTTCTATAAACATTTAAAATAAAACAATATACTTTTGTAAGTATGAGACTCAGTTATGTCGAATATAATAGAAATATTTAAAAGATAATCAATTTGGATGCGCAAGTTTAAATACAATCTTTTGGATTATAAGCAGGTCCGGCACTGATTTTTATCGCATCCAGAATAATTTAGAATCATTTTGTTGTCTTTCTAAACCTGTTAGACCCGTTTAATCGTGTGGAAAGGGGGTGGGGAAAATATTGAATTTCCTTCCGGGTCACGAACCACCGTCCATAGGTGAAAAGGCCGGGAAAAAAATCTGCGTGGAATTTACGTAATAAATTCTTTATTTCTATTTTTTATTAGTAATGCTTACAATACAAAATAATAAGACAATTATATATGAAAACCTCGTTACTAAGTCGATTTAGACTTTATTTCAAAAGAAGCTGAGGTGTTAAGATGTTGTCTTAAAGTTCATTGTGGATTGAACTAAATTGTTCTTACCGAACTTAGGGATCCCCTGAACGCTTCGACACTCATGTCATTAACAAATCGTATCAAAAGTGTGAAGTGTTCTAAGATTATATTTGGGTCCCTTTTTTATGATGGAGGACAAACATGGCGTTTAGTTGATGGTATATGAAATATCCCATCCATTTAATATCTAAATAAAATGTATTGTCGACCTATTTTGATTTCGGATATTCCGAAATCCACAGCTAAAACCGAAACGCAATTAAACTTTACGGCTTTTTCATCTGTGGACGGTAGTTCGTGATCAGGACAGAATTGCGATGTTCCTATCACTAATTTAATATTCAGATTTCTACACGACGTACAATTTGTTTCAGACAAACTAAAAATTGATTAGAAACATGTTGGTACGGATCGAATTCACGACCCGTTGATTATTAGCTATGCATAGCTTATCAATACATTAACCAGTCCATCAACTAAAATATAATCTTAACACTGTGTCTATACCTTATGTTCCTGATTTATTCTACAAAATGAAAAAACAAAGTATTATCGTCTATTCCTTGATTTATTTATATACTAATCTGTAAAAAATAATTTAAAGCATAAACCGTAAGACGGTTTCTTTACCGGTTTAATTATTGTAAAACAAAATTATAATGTTAAAGAAGTTAAATAAAATAAATAAATAAATAAATTAAATAAAACATTTTAACGGTTTAAAATGCGATATACTTGTTCAACTTATTTGTAAATGATTTTTAACTTCGGCCAGCCGTGGTCACGGGGAGACGGCAGCTGCAAAGCATCTGAAACGTCGGGCCGAAGTTAAAAATCATTTTCAAATAAGTTTAACTAATATATCGCGTTTTAAACCGTTAAGGTGTTTTATTTAAATATGTACTACTCGCGTAAACTATAGACAGTATTTATGCTTAGTTTTTCGTTTTCAAGTGTCTGCCGTAATATGTTATATAAGTATGTGCAACGGCAGACAATACACCGTACAGCTACCTACAACCACTGTTGTCAAATATGTACATTACCAAGCGCCACAAAAAAAATACACGGTGTCTGGTCAGAATATAAAAATGTCTTTATAACATAGTTCAGTATCTGTTGTTTTATTTTTTATTTTAATTTGCAGCAAATGCCAGCAACTTTGAGGGCGGGCGCGACCAGAATCAGAGTCCGGAAGGCGCACGACATGTCACAGGAAACAGTCAGGTTCGATAAATTATTTCACCTAACAGTTATTTCATTCTTTTTTCGCCTAGAACTCGGCGAATTGAATTACGATGAATGTGAGGAAAATATAAGGGACTTGATTTCCTCGAGGCTTTTATAAGCCGCCCCATCTATGCTAATATATAAAGCTGAAGAGTTTGTTTCTTTGAACGCGCTAATCTCAGGAACTACTGGTTTGAATTAAATTAAGTTTATTGTATTGGTTAGAGCATTTGTCGAGGAGGCTTTAGGCAATTCAAAATTGGCGCTAAGACTAAGAGCGAAGAAGCGACGCGAAATGTGAAAATAAATTACGAAAATTATTTATCATTGTGGGTGACAGTGGGTTCCGATGCGGACGCTGTAAAAACGGTATATGTATATCTTTTAATTTAACGACTACGTTATGAATGAAGAGGACGTTAGCAAAAGCAAAAAAACTATTTTACGCGGATAAAGTAGCTAACACCGCTAGCAATATTACGTGAACAAAATGCATTCGTATTTACAAAGTTTATTCAACAAATAGAATAAGTCAAAGACCATAAAATTATTTGTACACATATTGTTTGTTATAATTCTTCTAGTCTTTCATTTAAATATCGTCCGTATTTAAAGCGCGAAAATGCATGTTTAAAACGCGAATTTAACTTATTTTTCTAGTATGATCGAACTTCGTGGGGTCATCGTTAATTAATATATTTCGCGTAATAAACCGTTAAAAGTGATTTTTTTATTTCTCTTTTGAGTGGTGAAGAGGCGTCTTCGGAAAATGTGTTTAAACACTAGGTGCGCTTAACACAATGCGCTAGCCATTAAGCAACAGAGTTATTTTATTAGATTTCTTTTAAAAATATTTCTTCTATGTAAATTAAAAAAATGATTTTCAGAGTGAAAAAAAATACTCCACTGGCATGACTTGAACTGGTTAGAGCAACAGCACGAAACGTCGTGGATACCGGTTCTAGTCTTGCCCGTGTCGTATTTTTTTTAAAAGATAAAATCCATTGGGGTAATGGAAGCAATGTATGACTAGTAATCATCGGGTCCTGGGTTTGATCCCTACCGCGTCATTTTCCTAAACAATTTATAATTTTTCTGAAACCTGTTGGATTTAGCCTTGTAATTTTGTATTGTCCGCGTCACGAACCACTGTCACAGATGAAAAAGTAGTGAAGTTTAATCACGTTTTAGTTTCAGACTGTGGATTTCCGAATATCCAATGCTAAAATAGGTTGACAAAGCCTCATGTTCAGAGATATAAGCGCGAGAGGTCCTGTGTTCGAATCCTAGGGAAACAAGAAATTGTTTCGGTCGGGCAGGACACAGAAGTCTGATCGACTACTTGCCTGTTAAAGAACGGATCTGTGAAACGGATACAGAAATGTGTTCGCTTCATGCCCCACGAGGGGGAAACGGGATTACACACACCATTTTTTCATTACTTGATTAATTCGCATTTTCTCGCACACATTCAACTACCCTGTTTTCGAAATTATTAGATACTAAATTGTTAGAGCGATTGAATAACTTTGAAAGCACAAATATCATAGCTCATAAATAAGTTTTAGTTACATACATATTCATTATTTTCGTACTAAATTTTATTTGTTACGTGCGTTGAATATCTCATTATATTTCCATAAACCTTTTTTATGACACGGGTAATTAATAAAATAAAATAAAATATACTTTATTCTCTTTAAAATTCAAAAAAATATTTAGATTCGGAATTTTTTTTCGTTTTTCTGTCTATTCGTCGTGATTCTACAGTGTTCAAAAGAGCAACATAACTGAGAAGAACACCCAAGAAACTCAGTCCAGTTTTAAATATGTCTTATAAACCAATACATTTTTGTAAATTTACTAACAGGAGCAATTCATATTACTGCCAGGCGGTCTTGTCATTAAAGAAATCATTCAGACAATAATACGACTTTTCAGACAATCTAAGTTCTATAACTTTCTTAAATTTATTTAACGATAAATTTGAAACCTCGCAAATGAATTAGATATTTTATGGAGCCTATATTTGGGGATAGCTAGGTTATCCTTATTTCGTGAGTTCAAATTATGCCTATCACTATTCTTGCTAAACTTGCTTTTATTCTTATGGACATACAATACATTTTCATAAATATACTGCGAGTACACAGTAAGTAAGCCGATATTTTTGAAGGTATCTCATAGTGACTATCTCGGGAGTCATACCGTAGATAGCCCGGACCGCCCTTTTTTGCAATACAAAGATACATTCAATGTCGGCAGCGTTATCCTACAGTAGTATGGCATATGTCATAACACTGCTGAAGTAGACTAGACGCGCTGTTTTAACCCTAGGACGGTAACAGATTTTATTGAAACGCGAATGGTAACTGGGGTGACGAGTCACCCCAAACGTTCAATTAGTCAATCAGTTTTTAAGAAATTAACTTTATATTTATTAATGAAACAAACAAATAGGAACTTTTTTCCGAGATCAATCAGTTTTTAATAAAACTAAACAAACAAGAACATTAAAAATATAATCTAAACACAGCTCAAACAAATTTTCTTTCTATGTTCAGGACATACTGGCTTCTGGCATTTTGTGCACATAATTTTGACATTTTTTTCTCATTTTTACGTGGGCACAACACACACCTGGCTTGCTTCTGTAATTTTGAAGGGGGTTCGCCTTCAGAAGTTTGTTCTGGAATGTCAAGTGTAGGTAAATTTGACTGTAAACGTCTTTTCATATGTGGCTCAGCCAAATGCAACGCCATATTTTTTAAGAAACCACTTCTATATTTCTTAGCTGATGTATTAGGTTTTTAATCTTGAAATACAATATCATAGCATTGATGTCTGGCTGATCTAAAACCCCAAAGGATATTTTTTACGGCATAGACTGCAGAACAGAGCTTGCTCGAGACTTTCCCGATATGAGATTCCCATTGTAATTTGGAGTACAACGTTATGCCCAGACAGACAGGAGAATAGATAGCATGTTTTACTTGATCGTAGGTTATCGACCTATTTTCACAGTCTGAAACTAAAGCGTGATTTAACTTCACTACTTTTTCATCTGACGGTGGTTCGTGACCCGGAGAGATTTCGATATTTCTACTATCATTTAATATCCAGATTGCAAGACGAAGTCCCAATATGTTTCCGAAAAATTATAAAAAAAAAGTTGGCTCGGTGTGAATCGAACACACGAACCATTGATGAGCCCGTCAGCTTGGTTCTTCCAACTGCTGTTCTGGAAACTTCGAGAACGACTACTAACGTCCCATCACTCCCCTCGTAATATTGAAATCCCGAGACCTTCACTTGGTTTTAAATAGTAGAATGCCAAGATATATATTGCAAATTTAATTGAATTAACATGGCCGTAAACAAAGTTCCTTAATATTAGATTAATATGCTTCTGTAGGAAGCTTTTGTTGGAAGACTGTTATCGGCGCTAAACTGTTAATAAATTTAATAGCTACTTATCCCCCCAAGAGCGCGCAGCCAGGCTTTAATTTACACCTCGCGTATCGAATAGAATTAATCACAGTGCCCGTATGCTACATGCAATGTAATATTGTATATTATAATAAGACATACTGTCCGTAGTTTACGCGAATAGAACAAATTTATATACGACAATTTATCTGTTTAAACGCGAATTTTTTTAGTTGAACTTAGCGTAGAATATTTATTTTGGGCATCCAAATTTGTTTTTGCAAACCTTCTCTTTATCTATATAAATTTAAACTACTATCCGACATCGACATCGGACGCGTCCCGTCGCTCGCGACCCGTCCTTTTTGCAAGTTAATCTTCAAAATTAGACATATAGAGTCGCGGACATGGTTTTTAGATGATTTAAAAAGGAATTATTCTTTTATATATATTTTTTGGGTATCTTGAACTGTTTTCGCAGTGTACGTATAGGAAACACACAGAGATGAAAATGTTCCCCCATTTTTTCACATTTTCCGCGGCTTCTTCGCTTATATTACAGTCACAGTGCAGTGTTTTATAGCCTATGCCCTATAGTCTTCCTCGAAAAATGTTCTAACTAAAATAAAATATTTTTTCAATTCGAACTCGTAGTTCTTGAGATTAGCGCATTTTAACAAACAAACATAATCTTCAGCTTTTTATATTAGTATAGAGAAGACATATTTGTTTGTTGGATGGGATCATAGACAGGTAGCAATAGATTTTATACACATGGATAGCACTAACCAGAACTAACCACAGCCATATTAAACATAATACATAATGCACGTCCACATTGGTCTTTATTACCAAGAGCTGATTAGTCGTATCTTCCATAGGCGCAAATAAAAAGAACTATTCTTATTCCATATATCATTCAGGGCATAGGCTATTGGTGATATAGATATTACATTATTGTAAGCCTCAATAGCATACATACAAAATTGTCTACTACTTGTTACTAAAATTTCTTTTGTACGTTACTAATTACTTTGTCGTTATTGAAAAGAAATTTTTAACATTCTAAATTAATTCAAAATTTAAAAAGTCAATTTGCATAATTGTGTCACTCTTTCGTAGTTTTCCCCAGACTCCGACGATATCTGGGAGACAATCGAGGTGACGTTAGAGAGAGGGGTTTCTGGGCTTGGGCTCAGCATAGCAGGCGGTGAGAGCGGAGGTGACGTCAGCGTATCTCGTATAGCCCCCGCTGGCGCTGCGAAAAGGGATGGCCGACTTCAGATTGGAGATATCCTTCTTCAGGTATGACAGGTTGAATTTATAGTGCTGCTGGTCCACCCTTTCATTTGTATTATTCTCTTTATGGATCGACCTTACGAAATTTTGACTAGAATTCTTCGTGACTTGAACGTGAAATTAGATTTTAGTTTGACAAGTTTTCTACATAAATATATTTTTTTCAGACAGTTTAAATTTAATGTAAGATATTTTATCTAAAGATAATGTTTGTCATTTCATATTAAGATTAATGTAAAATGAACGGAATAATACGTACTTTTACATGAAATTAAAATCAAATTGTGTTTATAGTAAATTTATTCGTCAACGTTCAAACGTCAAACATCAACGTTCTTTAACGTACGTACGAGAAAAGATATAAATTAAACTTAGTTCTTTACTTGATTGCATGAAAAATAATGACTCGATCATGCTTATAACTTATAAACATTAATATTTCATAAAATCTGAATATAATCGCAATAAAACTGTGTAATAAAACAAAAATATGATCAAGTGAAGAAGATAAAGGTTCGCTAAAGCGTGAGATTCGTTTTATCAAATTTTATAGGTGCAGTCGTAAAAAGTACGTGACTGTAAAGCTTTAGTATAAATATCGATTTTCCTTACATTTCAAGTTTCTTCCATGTATCAGGACATTTTTCCAATAACACAATTGTTAAATATATAATAAATCCTACTTTTAGATAGTCATTGTACTTGATGTAGACAATCGAGCCCGAATCGAGAAACGTCGTTCTGGTGGCAAAGCCACGAACTGTAAATAAACATTTCGGTCTCATGCACTCATAACTTTTCTGAATGTCCAAAATCAGTTTAGCCTTGCAGTATCAAAGAAATCGCATTAATTAATTTCTAATTTTTCATATTAATTGATTAGAATATATATAGAAGATTGGGATTAAGTTCCGTAACGTAATACTTCGAGCAGTAAAGCTATTTGAATGCTCGTTTCCTCAATATTACTGAAACTCACAATTTCCCGCGTACGTTTCTATGATAAGCCCCATAAAACGTAGTAAGTGTTCTCAGCTGTTACTTGAATTAACTAGGAGTAAAAGGATCGTATCGGGCGAAAGAGGCTTGTTTTCATGAACCCTTATGTTTATTCAGGAGATCATAAGCCTCTCAAAGCCAAAATTGAAATCGTAAGGAGAAAGCCGAAAGCCCAAATATTATAGCAACTCAATCAAATTTATTAATGTCGGCTGCTTCTGGATGAAATATTACATTATAAATTCATCCCGCATTAATCTTTGGATTTTAAAATCTTGGGAATTCCCGGTACCACAGTGTTGGAACTTTCGTACAATATTAAACAATTATTTATAAGCGTGATAAAATAACCTAGTACAAAAGAATGCCTACGCCGTCTGACATCAGATCTATACGAAAGATTTTACTTATTCATAGGTCAACGATGTCTCAGTCGAGAACGCGCCGCACTCTATAGCGGTAGATGTTTTGCAAAATGCAGGAAACATTGTAAGACTTGTAAGTATCTCTGCGAGTGGCTCTTATGCTCACCCTTGCCTTAACACGAGACATTAAATCATAACGGATCTAGACTGTCATTGTCCGCCTCGCCCTTTTTAACGAGGCTTCGTACGGCTTCAAAACATTTCCTTTGCTAATTAGAAACCTTAAAAGCGTAATTATATTTTCATATTTTATTTCGCTGTAAAACAAATGAATTTGAAAATTTAAATAAAGAATGAGTCGTGGACCTAATTCCCCACAAAAAGTTATTAAAAGAGGAGCTGTGTATTTTTTTATTATTTGTCAGAGAGTTCGGAGAGCACGGCGCCCGAGGGTTGTGACACTTTGCAGAGGCGTTCGCGGTTTAGGCTTGGGCATAGCTGGCGGAGCGGACGACGCAGCGGGCGGCGGCGGCATCTTTATCTCTCATATTGCTGCTGGTGGTGCAGCCCATCACGATGGCAGACTTACATTAGGGGACAAAATTCTTGCTGTCCGAGACGAAGATGTATGTATTGTATTTAGTATAGGTACCATAATGTAGACAAAAACAAATGAGAAAATATAAATAAAATGTATTGACACGCAATATATGCCCGAATATAAAAAATCTATTGAATCTCTACCAAGCAATTCATCAATTACAAACAAGAGAAAGAAAAAAAAATGTGCTATTTTTACAATATTAATTTTTAAAAAGCACATTCGACTGCTATGAAATATTATTAATATCAGCATTTGCATTCAGGGCATAGAGACGTCTCTAATCGGCGCAACTCATGCGAAAGCTGTTGCAGCACTAAGGAATACGGGCGATCGCGTGACACTTGTGGTTTTGCCGGCGGCAACCATTCCCCCGGTAGTCAGAACCGCTCCGCTCTATTCCAGTAAGCCCACGCCTATTATCCCTAGATACCGCTTAATTAGAAAGTTCAACAGGAATTGAATCTATTGTTGATTAGACGAAGTACTATGCTCCTTTGAGATTACGTTCAAAGAATTATTTCACTGAAGTTAAGCGCTATATTTCATTGAAAAACAAAAGATTCTTCTTCGAAATAACACAGAACCTTAGTTTTCTTAAGTTGTACACGAACGTATTTAAAATCTGATGGAACAATTTAATAAGATGTATCTATTGATGTGTAATCGCTATCTAATGAAGAACAAAAATAAATACTGAAGCTTTTCCTCAACAAATTAGCGAAGCAAATTTAATTACAATTCTCGGAAAGTTGTATTTAGATGAAATATTAAAAGAATCAATGAAAATTATTATAAAACTGACAATAAAATGAAATGAATTTAAAACTCAAAGAGATTCTCATTATGATTACTAGCACGCACGCAAGCGACATCGTGTTCCACCCTTCACGAGTTATCAGAAGAAGATCCGAATAAAATACCAAGGTAAAATTAGTAAATACTGCATGATACGAATCACAATATATCGGCTATATCTTACCTGGTGACTATTTGATTATCGTATATTGGTATCTATAAAGATCCAATTTAGATTCTGTCCCTCAAAATATATGAAAGGACGTTTTGATCAGGGACGCAACCAGTAATAACTGGATTAAACTATAATTGTGAAGGAATTTTCGTATTCAACAATTGTTTGTTAGTAGGTAACTAACTACAATTGATATACCTAGTCCAAATATCAAGTTACCTACTGTATATACCAAGAGTCCATGAGACCATTAATATTTTCAGATGTGTGCGTATGGTACGTCTAGTAAGAACCGGCTCTCGTCTTGGTATGGACATAGTTGGTGGTTTGGGTGACGCTGACCGAGGCAGTGATGATGAAGCATGTGGGGTTTTTGTATCTGGCGTGGCAACTGGAGGTGCTGCATGTGGTATGCTGCATAAGGGAGATAGGATATTGAGTGTTGATGGTCGGGACTTGACTAGAGCGACGCACGAACAGGCAGCAGCTGCTTTGAAGGTGAAAGGCAATGTAAATGTTAAAAACCATGTTATGTCTTTCTTTCTTCCTTTGATTTCCTTTGATATACTTACTATTTTCTTTATCTACTTTAAAATAAAAAAAATGCAGAAAAATCACAGGGATTCGAGTATTTACTAATGGTTTCCTACGATCTATTATTAAATAAAAATTTAAATTCTACCCTACAGTATTCAGGAAATGCAGTGACAGTAGCAGCGCAGTACCAGCCGGAGCAATATGAGAGGTTGCGCGCGCGCATTCGAGCGATAAACGCAGCGTCAGCCATGTCTCCGCACGCACATAGGGTGCATGTTCCCGTGCAGCCAGATTTGCATTCTATTTATCCTAGGTATGGTATTTAGGATGGTTATTTTTATGAAACAACTGACAATAAACATTCTTACTAAATTTACATATCCGGCGGTATATTTCAGATAGTCAGCTCCAAATTCAAACAGATGTGATTTTTTTAACGTTCTCACCGCATTAAAGTAATTATAGGTTTAAAAAGATATCATCTATATCGACAAATGTCGAAGAAGGTGTAAATTTCTTAAAAAGCGCCGTATGCGAGTTGCAAACTATGTGAATTATAAATTTTAAAAATATGTACGAAATAATGATTCCTCTTTAAATGATCTAAAAAAGTCCACGACGCTATATGTCTATCTTTTAAGATTATCTTGCAAGAACGACGGGAAGTGACGCGACCGATGTCATGGGAAACAGCGATATTATAAAGGAAGGTGTTTGCACAACGAATTTGGATGCCCAACATAAAAATTCTCACGGACGAAGTCGCTAACACAGCTAGTAAATAATAATTTCACAACGGGTTACACTGATAATAAAAATGAAAATTTTATTTCACAATGCGACCGAATATAAAGATTAAAACGGTAATTTCCCGTTTTTTATATAAGAACTACTGTTACTTAACTAACAGTCTAGCTCTAACACAGACCTTTTAATCAAAAGTTGCTAGAGTACAGTATAGTTAGGAATATCAAACTTCCCTCGTATTTGTGGTTCAATGTAAATATCATAATTAAAATCTCTATAGCTGGCAAACCAGTGTATGATGTACACATAAATGATACGATTCATATATTTATCATATACTAGCTGTGTCAGCGACTTCGTGCGCGTAGAATAGTTATTTTAGACATCTAAATTTGAAAACCTCCATATTTTTATAAATTATCGCTGTTATTATTATTATTATTAATTGCAAGTTAATCTTTAAAGATATACGTAGTCTTTCTTTTAGATTGTTTAAAGAGAAATCATTCATTCATAAACATTTTTTGGCTATCTTGAACCGTTGTTGCAGCGTACGTCTCGGAAACCCATAATCATGAATAATTCTCCCGTTTTTTGTCACATTTCTCGCTGTATCTTCGCTTGTATTAGTCACAGAGCGATATTTTATAGCCTATAGCCTTCCTCGATAAATGCTGTAACTAACACAAAAAGATTACGAATGTTTTTAATTTGAACCCATAGTTCTTGAGATTAGCGCGTTCAACAAGCATACAAACAAACGCCTCAGCTTTATATATTAGTATAGGTAAAACGGTAACCATAAATGTGATATTAAATTCATAATAATATGAAAGAGCATTATAACTAAAAATGAATACGCGAATTAAAATTGATTTGCTTCCGTTTCAGAATTGATATTAATTTATACATATGCCAACCGCATAAATGATTAAGTTGATAAATTATACATTACATATTACGTCAGATATAATGAATTTATGAAAGAGACATAATTAATGTCCTTCTGTTTGTTTGTCAACAGGTAACAAAAGACTGTTTTTAAGGAAGACCGCTAGGACCGAGAACAATTAGTTGATGAGATAACCTTCAAATAAAGAAGCTTGATAAAAAATTGCGAAGCGGACAGGGCTGGTTACAAACCGAGTCCTGTTATTTCTCATTTTGCAGAAAAACCCGAGCACTACTCAGATTGTTCCAGTTTTCCACAGATTTTCACAGCTTTTTCTTTCATCTACACTTTATAATACTACACGACACTGCAGACAATTATTAAGTATTTAATAGGACTTAAAAAAACACTTTTACCCGGTTATAACACGAAGTTATTAGTTAACTTTTTAATTTATTTTAACCGTGATGATGGCTGCTGCAGAGCTTCCAAAACGTCGGGTGTCGTTAAAATACATTAAAAATAAGTTAATTAATATATTTCGCGTTTTAAACGGTTGAAAGTGTTTTGTTTAAATGTCTTCAACTCGCGTAAAATCCAGACAATACTTAATAGGACTCCGCTGAATATTGTGTTACGAACTCTAACAACTAAACAGAGATACGAAACTCAAAACTCACGTCGTAACACAGTTGTATGATAACTGTTTGCATTTGGGAACCTTTTCTGCGGCCCTTTGATATGAAAATTAGATTAAATGATAACATTTATACAAACGCACCGACTGCGATGATATTATACCATAAGTATTTGTTTCTCATCTCTCAGAATCACGTAAAATGTAAATAGTGCGTTATTTAAGGTAAGATTATTTTTATATTGTTACAGTCCTATACCGTAAAATAATTAGCTAGAATGTATGATTGTAAATATACCTTGATGTTATGTATATATAAAGTTTTTGAACTGTGATATTAAAATAATGATACATTTGTGTGGCATAACGTTGCATATGGAATAAACAGTTTTTGACGTCATTCGAGTGTTTTATTTAAACACTAGCTGAGTCAGCGATTTTGTACGCGTTATATAGTTATTTTGGGTACCAATTTTTGTTTTTGCCAACCTCCTGTTAAATTCCAAAAATTGAAGCTGTTAAACACGACGTCGTCTGCGTCCCGGTGCTCTTGCAAGTTAATCTTACAAGGTAGACATAATATACTGTCGCGGGTATCTTGAACCGTTTTCACAGCGTACGCAATGGAAACCCACAAGGATAATTAATAATTTCCCCCGTTTTTTCGACATATCCCGCTGCATCTTCGCTCCTATTAGTCACAGCGATATGTTTTATAGCCTATAGCCTTACTCAACAAATGTTCTTACCAACACATAAATGAATTTTTCAATTCGATCCCGTAGTTCCTGAGATTAGCGCGTTCAAACAAACAAACAACAATATAGCATAATATAATTTGGTCAGATATTTATTGACGAAAATGTAGCTCGCTATAATTTTTTCTTTAGTATTAAAATAACTTATTAACTAGAGCACAATCGGAAAGGCATGGAAGCGATCAAAAATGATCCTTTCTCAAAATAAATAGAAAACTACTCAGCTTAAACAACATTCAATTTAAGATGAGTTCTATTGTGGAAAAATATACGCATAATTTTCCTTGGAGTCTGGCATAATAAATTTGATGTTTTCTAGTTAAAGGAGAAGTGAGTGGGGTTTTACTTGACGTAAGGTAAATATCTGATTATAATGCGTTTCTGTTGCGGCATTTTTTCATCTTCTGACATTCGGACCAGCTACGTTACGTAACGCGTAACAATTTCGGTCTAGTTAGCACTTTTCACAATAAAAGTGCTAACGAGACCGGAATTGTAACGCGTAGTCCCGAATTGCATACTTATTTTTTAGGTACATGTATTTGATAAGCCGCTGCATTACGTAAAGCGTTACGTTAGTCTGCCGTCCCATGGGGCATCAATATTAAATAGTTACATTAATATTCATTTAACTTTAAAGTCATCTACTTCGGAGGAAACTGTATTTTTTTATTATAATATATGCCACTATTTCATATTAAATACGTGTGGATCCTAATTTTCAGCTCAAAGGCATCTTCCAAGGATTTTGGTTTAAGCAACTCGGTAGCATCTTAACTTAGTTAATAACTTATACGTCGTAACACGCTTTGATTAATCTTGTAACTTAGGAGTTAAATTGCTGTATTTAATAAAATACGGTTTTAAAGCAAACATGAAGAATTAAAATATATAGGTGTTATTTTTCTCTTGGTATACATTTGAAGGTTGCTATGGTCCGATGATAGCAATGTATGCACATGATGGGATTATATAAATTAAAAATCTATTTCTGTACCAAATTACAATAACAAGAAGGGATTATAATTAGCAAAAGTGGTATAAAATTGAATTACACTGGCCGAAGTTTACGCAATTCAAGAAAGCGCGCTCTCAAAAAACATTATTTTGAATTATGGCACGAATTCGGAACTTGTAACTCGACTCGTATTTACATAATTTATTCTTTGGCTAATTTTAAGTTGTTATTATTTGTAATTCTCGAACCCCCTTCGAACATTCGAGTTATACCTTGCAATATTTTGTTTTTGTGAAGTCGCGCTATCAAAGAGTCTCTTACAAACAATTAGTTGAAAAATCAATTAGTGAGCTTGGCATGGCGCCAGTAATTAAACGCGTGTATATATATTATAAGTCGTCGTTTTTGCGTCACTTAAAATAAAAACTACTTGCTGTTATATGAATTTTAAATGATAGAGGATGACAGAGAAGTATGGAGCTTATTTGAGGGAAAGTAAGGTTTCCCTGCCATATTACATCTCAACATGCATTTTGGCTTTGGAAATCCACAGACTCAAACCGAAACGTGATGAAACTAGACATTTTGCTAATCTGTAAATAGTGGTTCGTGACCCGGGCGGAATTTCTATATTAAGACCACCCATTCAATATCCATATTTCAAGACGAAGTCCAACATGTTTCAGACGTATTATAAGCGATACATTGCTCTCGTTAGACCAACAAATTTGTATTTGCGTAACCATAACTTCAATGTTTGTATTTGCGTAACAATTTGGAAAAACGAGAAAATCAGGAGAAACAAAAAAAAACAATGAATAGACGCCATGTATCGCCAATGCACGGACCTAGTCCAGGATTCTAACCAGACTTTCTTTACACACTTATTGTCCTACAGTGGCTCAGAGTGTCTTGACGTTCACCTAACTTCCTTAAACTTGAGTAAAGTGTGGAACTGAAACAGGATTGTCAAAGTTTACAGATATTCACTCCCTTTGTTACATAGATATTAAATTACTTAAATAGAGATACAAATAGTGTAGCCATAATTTAAATAAAATACTTTAACGGTATAAAACGCGATATATTAGTAAAACAAATTTGAAAATGATTTTTAACTTCGGCCCTACGTTTCGGACGCTTTGCAGCAGCCGTGGTTACGGAGAGACTCCCTACATATATCGCGTTTTAAACCGTTAAAGTGTTTTATTTAAATATGTACTATCGCGTAAACTATAGACAGTATTCAGTTACGATTATTCATTTTTAAGGATTAGAAGAATGATTTCTTTTTAAAGATTAAAAAATGTGTCCGCCACATGTGTCTATCTTTT